TGGAAATTTATTGCGCACAAAAGACTATTGACGGGTATCCAATCAATCAATGAGGCTTCAGTTTTACCGTTTAGTACGATTTAGTACGATTCCTACTCCACGCTGTCCCAGTGGGCGGGCTTCATCATCTCCTGAAGTACTGAGGAAATACCTCTGTTAGGACGGAGCTTAAGCAACCTGTCCGATCGCGCACGCCTCCGAGTCAGGCTACACACACGATCGCAACGCGCCAGACAAGCTGAGTCCGATGGGAACGAATCAGTTAATGTTTGTCTAATCGATCAATCGATATGTCATGGAAGCAATCTGATTGACTGATGCATCACTGCGCCGTTCTCGTATGCGTGATTTATTCTCTATATTTTGCGTGTCCATATCTAATCAAAAAATATACACTGACTGTTTTCTCAAGCTGTGTCCCCTCTCTCCGTGTTATCGTTGGGGGGTTAAGGAAGAGTCGCTCGTGTCCTTCGAACGTCTAGTCCGAACACAACTACCTCGAGGGGAGACCCGGTGCACTCAGATGGCTTATAATACTAGGAACTTTGACGGGTGTCCAACAAGTTAGCCGATGGTATGTTATGGGTCGGAAGAAGGGGTAAAAGACAAAGGTTGGGTAAGAAAGCTAGCGTTTAACAAAGGTTGGGATATCTGAGTAGTAGCCCACTTGTTACCACCCACCTCACTTGATGCAATGAGCAGCTCGGTCTTGATTATTCTGCGCGATGGCCGATGGAGTATGGAGTTATGTTTTTGTTTGTGTGTTCAGTGGAGCTTTATGGATGAGTACTTCAGCTAGGGAGTAGAACAACTAGGGTTCATTGGTGTCATAAATTTGGGCGGAAAGAGAAAAGACGGAAAACTGATATGGATTGGATTCACTGAGATCGGAGAGATGTGGGATCAAATAAAATGTGATCATAGAAGAAGACAGTTTATCTTCTTGATAGTTCGTGCACGATCTCTTGCAATAAAACGACTTCACAGCAACAGTTATTCCGAAGCCGGGTGGCACGGAGGACAGGTACAGCATGATGCAAGTCAAAACCCGTGGGCGTTACCTGTCCCGGTAGGAGTGACTAGTCAATTTTCCCTATACACACAATACGGAGACGGTTAGTGCGAACAACACGTGCAGTAGTTGAAGTGAGGAAGGGACATTATCAATTGGCTTACCTCGTCTACAAGATTCCGAGAACTGGATAAACAATTCCCGTAACGAGTTCTCGGTTTTCTCCAGCACAGTCTCATCAGTCGCGAGTGATTCTTTTAGTGTGTAGAATTTCTGAGCAGCACGACGAAATTGAGTCAGTTTGAGAAAAGGCGCGCCCACGGGACGTAGATCGTTTAGCTCTTGTTGTCGTTCATCTCGGAGCGGATGACGATTGGATTGTGGATCCCGTGGAATCGGAGCGAACTTGATGTATAAGTCAGATTGTTTACTCTGACAGAGATAATCCTGAAGGACAGTGAACTGATTCGGGAAGAGGCTGACCAGACGCAGGTTGCTCCATGGGTTGCTCTGAGTGCCAACTACGTAGGCTTTCAGTTGCGTTGATTGTGCTTCCTACAGAGAGTAGCAAATATGCAATACACATGAATGGTGAATGAGGCAATGTATTTTTCCGTTTCGATTTATCTTTAACACCTGTATGAGAAATGAGCTAATTTGGTCGGGTCGCGTTCCGCTATTTCGCATCAGTTTCGGGCGGAACAGCCACTGACCCAATGTTTGCTGACCAATTCAAGGGATTATGATTAGTGCACGGAGCACCTTAATTTAAAAAGCAACAGCCAACCAAACACCTGTTATGCGAATTTACTTGGTGTATTGTGGCAACAAGTGCTTCGTATCGAATTAGAAACCGAACCAAACAAGAAGAGACACACAAACCATACCCACATTTTCTTAATAGTAGCGCTGGTCACCGGCCCAAACCGTATCTACTGAGGAAAACCTCTTCGCTGCCTTCTCATAACAGTGTTTTTCCAACAAAGTGTGAGGACGAAAACCCAATATCTGGAGCTGTAACCGGGTCAGTGAAACACTTGCTGTTCACCTAGAGGAGTAGGCCAAACCCTGATTCCAAAACAACCAAGAGGCTTGCGAACCACACACACACACACACACACACACATCGACCTGGTTGTGGTAGTGGTCACCTTGGGCGCTTGACCACATTGAAGGGGCGTATGATACAATGAAATGAACCCCACCCCTCAAAATGGGTTGCAGTTTTCAAACACCACCACACTACCTTGCGGGTCGGGCATTGGTTAACTGGGGGCACGGGTTTCGAATCCCCGCTCCCTCAGAATACTTACCTGGATTGATCTGGCAACCTGGCTGTATTCCATCCACGAGCAAATCACGGATCAATTTATTTGTTCGAAACATTGTTACACCCTGATTTGCTTGAGAGACAGTCCGTACTTAGACAAGTATGAAATATGATGTCACATGAGACGGATCTCAACTGCTGATTTCAGCTGATCCTTTGACTAATTCCTCTTCCGCTGTGTTATTTCCAGCACAGAAGTTTTCAGGTTTAAGAATGAATTCATAGCAAACATGTGCTCGCCAGAACCTGGCGTTTCCATTAAATTAGCCTGCAAACTTTGTTCTCTCTCTCTCTCTCTTAGAATCTAATTTTAACTTTTCAATATTTGTTCTACCCCTTTATCTAAATCAGCAGCTAAAAAAGCAGCAACCAAAACCGGAGCACAAAAGTGCACAGTTGCACAAATTGAATTGAACTGAGCTCTCTCTCTCTCGCTCACTCCAAACACCCAAGTCGGCAGCGGCTATAACCTGATGAATAGGATAAGACAAGTCAGTACAATACAAGCGATAATATGCGAAATTGGTACAAGCTTGAAAACCACTGCTCCCTTATTGGCATTAAATCACAATGTGAATGAAGACAGTTTTTTTCTTTTCATGGAATTACACAACAGCAAAACTAGTGAATGGAATCACTATGGAGAAAAAAACTCACTTTGAAACAGGCTCGATCCAAAAGCCACAGAGTGAACAGAGTAGGTAATACGGGACGGATGGTGGGGAATTCTCTCGCAAACAAGGACAACACATAGCGGCACTACGGACGACGAAGATGTTCAAGTGAATGGGATGGAGAAATAGACGAGACACAAAATGATTATCTGCGATTTTCAAGCCGTCACGTATTGATAAAAATGAAAACAAATAAAGATTCTAGATTATCAACACCTTCGTTATTTCGTGTACAGAGACAACGAAGCGTGAAGGGAAAAGCTAGGATGGGGACCTCGGGATAACTGTAATAAATGGTTCGAGACATCCAGTGTCTTCGACTACGGAGCCCGTGCACCTCAGTTTCTTTACAACTTTTCGAACCTTCTTGCGATCCTTTCATCTCAATGGGCAACCAAAACCACCGCACGAAATTGCATGATTGTATAGACTGAACTGAACTATCGTCTGGCTACATTGCCTCAATCAATAGTGCAACAGAGTGCCCATTCAATAAATGATACACGGCAATTGGTCTGACTTACCAGCTGTACTGCAATCATGTTCGGATTGGTTGCTTCCGCTGAGTCTAACACCAGTCGACTTGAAGCTGCGCTTGCAGCTGTTGCATCGCATAAGATAAAGCCAAGTAGAGCAAGACGTAGGCGCACCCAGCTGGATTCTTGTACACCCAACTGCCACAATGCACATAATGACTGCAGTCGCCTGGGTGGATAACACGGAGCCCGTGAGCCAGTCCTCGACTCGACTAGTTCCTGTTCCCGCCATACGCGCAGAGGTTCCGAATCAACATCAGCCTGAACGGATGACCAACCTAAGCAAGCGTGCAGTAGCGCTTCACTCAGCGGCGCCGCGATTGCTCCATTCAGGCCCGCACGTTCACGTAAATCCCCGATCACGCGCACCAAATGTGATGATGAGTATGGCATCAGGAGGGTGTCCCTCGTTATGCTCTGATCGACTATGTCATCGCTAAAAATCAGAGAAAAAGTAAAACATTTGTTATGCGGACTGCATTACAAAAGTGAGCATCCTCGAGTGCATTTGAGAAAGGAAAACTAGCTGAAACTATATGCAAATAGACAAGATTTATTCAAGCATTTGTCGTTAAACAGGATTCCGAAGGGCATGGCCTGTAAAGTGATTCTATGTGAGAAGACTGTTACATATTTCGAAGGCCTTTTTCTTCTCCGCAAGATCTCCTGCTAAAGAATGATTAGGCTTCCTGGAGGCTGTCAGCGAGGTTAGTGCACACAGTGATTCAACCGCGGCTGTACAGCTGGACTACGTGACCCAAGTGCAATTCTAAACGTTCGCACTGCTATTCAATATTTTATCCCTCAGATATTTATTCCTGGGAATACGATAGAAAACAGCGTACTCAGTACCGTTCTGTTTTTACTCCAGCGTGACCCTCTAGGTCCTTGTACAACGACGTGCGAAATCGTAGATTCTACCGAATACCACATCTGGCTAGCGTACAATACAAAGTAGCCACATTTCGTAGACCACAGCATAGTACAATACAAAGTCAAAATGTGGAGGTTAATTTGATGATTTCGGATTGTCCACCAAGTCCTGTGTTGAACAAGTCATTTAACCTTATTCGTCCCATCCTCTCTCTCATTAAATGCATCTGGAAATCGTTGATTCAAAAATAAAGACTGCCGTGAAAAAGCGTACGAACAACTACGACCCTCTGGGGTGGCTAACTCCATTGGGGCAATTTGGATTCGTTTCATTTGACATTGGGTATCCGATTAACTGCGATCGGCGCATAAGTGAAACCTATCGAACTGGAATGACCAGCACAATACACCAAATCATCTGCTAACTGTTCACCGAGCAATTGGCAATTCGTTTGCAAACGCCTCAACCGGCAGAGGTGACATCATCAGTGCTTGTGAAGTGGCAGCGTTCTCCTTGTCCCCGTTCGTTTATATATGTGTTCTTCTTCACCGACTATTTTCTACCTTGTTCTCACTATGTTCAACTCGGTTCGCCATTGAACTGGTGCGAAGGGATGATGGTGGGCGGAGGAAGGTGGGGCTTGTCCATCCGTCCTGATTGCACTTTTGGTCCGTTCTCAGGTCACGTTGTGACCTTTTCTGTTGCGCCACTTGATCATTGAGTTGCAGCATCGAACGGGAACAAGCAAAACACTGCCACTTCACAAGCACTGATGATGTCACCATCATTTGCAAGCAAATTGTGAAAAGGTGAAATGGAGTTCACCGGAGTTACGAGAATCGAATTTCAATATTTTGTCAACGTGCAACTTACTCGTCCTGGAAGGAAGGAGAATCAGTGGACGAGACGCATTCTTGAGGCAGCAATCCGAGGCGACAAAGGAATAGGACCAGACGAGTATATTGAGCATAGGTCTCTACCGCGACAACTATTAGCATGTCATGTTGCGAGATATTTGTACGGTCCAGACTGCGTCCAGATGCACTTTTCTCAAACCAGTATCTACCGATGACAGCCAATTGTTGAATCTGTACGAAGGGAGGGAGTAAAAAACGGCGGAAGTTTATTGGCGAAAAGGAACGAACAATGGAATTCGAGAACAAAAACGATTATATTCAGAGGTAGTGAACAAACAGTTGATGGTAATTGGAGGTTAATAACCTCACTTGTGGTTGCGTTAGTTTTAACAGTTCGCAAGCTCTACTCAGTCCGCAACAAACTGCATCGAAAATCATTTTTGTGAACTATGAAAATCAGATTCAATCAAGACACCTGAATTACGGTGTTTAAATAAAGGAATCTAGAAACTGTTATTCGCAATAAACAACAAAAATGACATAAATCTGCAGCAAGTGAAGGCAGGTAAAAGAACTGTTAGGTATAATGGGTAATGACATACCTGATAGGCAGTTGCACCAAGACCAAGGGAATCTTTGACCAGATTGAGCAGACTGCGCGATCCGGTAGAATCAACACCATCGGGGTTGGGACTAAACAGTGGCTCGGTCAGCTGATCAAACATTGTCTTAAGTCTTTGAAAACGGAGCCAAAACCAGTATTTGAGGAAACGTGTGTTCTCCGGTGAGGTAGGACCATGACCGTTGGCTAATTTTTCAATCGACTAATGCGTATTAAAGGATGAACAAACAAGGGGCAAATTCCATGTTTCAGAAGCAACAAATTGGGGTTGTGACTGAGAGAGAGAATAAATAGGACAATACCGGTAGATCCCATCGGGTGTATTCACAGGGGCCACAGTTGAAACAAACCCGTACAACCATATATAAAACTCGGTCTTTGTCGCATTATTACAGCTGATACTGAATTAAAAGCATAAACTTGGGATTATATTGAAGAAAATAACCATGATGCTTATGTATACTGGGAACCCGACATGTCACGTGACAGAATGTGGATATGAACAGTGCATCTGCGTCAGTTCCTCAAGTCACATACTAACATGAAGTGTGTAAAGCTAGGCTTAGCTTATGAACAATGAGCAGTCATTGTTTGGATGATATTCCGGGAGTGAAATATGGTGAAACAGAGCAAAAAACCAAGGTTCTTAGAGTTTGATATTCATTCGAAAAAAACATTCATAGAGGAGAAAAAACTTGATGGTCCGCTTAGGAGAGAATTCAAACGGGACAATAAATGATGGAGACAGAATGATGTGCGGTCGTACTTGATTCAGAAATACTACTCGATAGACTCTCAGAATATCTCTCAGTTGCGGACAGTGGAGCAGCTGCCGATTTGGGTAGCAAATTCAGGTTCACCGAATTTATCAGAAAGTGAGTTGGAACAAATTAACGATTGTTGTCTTGGAGAATGATCTGAAAAAAATCATTATCATCATCAGTGGAAGTGTGAACTAGCCAAGAGGATAAGCGATTTTCGATAGGGAGGGATAGAGAGTAGTGAACAATGGAGAATTCAGTGAGATATCGGAACTCATAAGACCCACTCGTCGGACCAGACTAATATGAGATCAGGCTGAACGACAAGTAAGACAATGCGTCAGAGAACAATGTGAATGATGTGGGTAAAAAGAATATATGCTGACTGGACAGTGAGAGGGTGAGCGTAGCGTTGGACAGATAGGTTGTTCGTTTATTTACAGTTCATGTAGAATGCTGGAACGCATTGTGACAAGAACTCAGGATCTTTGCTTCATTCTAATGAGATCAAAAAAACTTGGGCCGTTCTGAAACAATACTACTGAGGAAAAAGGCTGACAAAAAAAAACGCGGACGGCTCCATCTGTGTGCACATTGGAGACCAATGGAAAACGAGCTCACTTTTAATGGGGCTAGATGACCGTGTTCCAACAGACAGTTGATTAGCAACACCCAAGATGGACTCAGTACAGTTTTCTGACCCATCGGGGACTCCTCCCGTGTGGCCAACGACGTAGTGGCTCCGGTCACACGTGGTCGTTTGCCCGGTGGACCGAATGAATCCGTCAACTCATCAGACGCTTCATTCAAGTTTTGCACCAGATTCACATCAAATCCTTCCCCATAGGTCAGGCGGAAACCAATCAACTCGGCATCGGAGGAGCGAGCAGATGAATGATCATCACTCAGCTCGTGGGCTAGTTGTAATAGCCTATCCAAATCTTCTTCTTCAATTATGTCCAATCCAGGAGATTCCAACAGCCCGGAAGCCCAAGCCTCGGCCAACCAGTCGGTTGGGGAGAAGTGTTTTTCATTGGACGATCCGGTTGAATGAAGTGACATCAGGCAAGCTTCCTGACGTGAGGCAAATTGAGCACGAAGGAATCCGCCGGAATAAGAACCAGTTTCCGGAGTAAACCAAGCCATTAAGACCGAGAACGAGATAGCCGACGGACGAAGGCAAACTTCCGGGACGGGACGAGGTGCTTGGCGACGTGCGACAGTGACTGATGCAGAATGGATTGGTCGACAAGAACTTCCAGTGGGATCGAGAACCGTTTGGGATTCGCCCAAAGCATCCAATTGTCGTTCACGGGCAGCAATGCGACTCCAAAACGATTCCATGCTCTGCTCCAATAAATGTCCATGCTGAATTAAAATGAGAATAAATGGGTTGGGATGCGAAATTAGTCACTGGTAGATTTTTACACTGGGTAGAGGAAGAAGTGTATGAGAACGTAGCCATTATCATCATCATCATCATCATCATCATTATCATCGTTCAGCGAGATATGGTGAAGCGAACTTCACTGATCATTGCCAAGCTCACAATGTACACAAATCAAGTGATAAAGTACAAGATGGAGAGGGATTAGGCCTAAATGGAGGGAGGCAAAGAAAATGAACCTCTATGGTCAACACACAGAGTACACAATCCAAGTGTGCATACATAACCTTTCAAGCATTCTGACCTGGTAAGAAATGACAACAAGAACACCACTGCTGTCGGTTAGTTGCCATATCCTACAGGGTCTCCAAACAGCCAGTCGCACAGTCTTTTGAACCCCAACCTGGAAGACGAGAGACACCGATTCTACCTAATCGCTCTGTGCATTTCTTCAGGCCTTGTTTCCACGTAGTACAAGAAAACGACAGTTCTGTCATTATTACTGCGGCTGCCAGAACAACAGATGTCGGCAACAGGTTACCCAATCTTAGTTCAGTCCATCCGTCGGTGCGGTATAGTGGTCAAAGTTCAAGTGCGAGTTAGGATATCGGGAATTCACTTGAACTGGCAATAAAATTTCACACTTCCACACTTTCGTGTCCTTTGTAAGGAAAGTAGCTTGACAAGCAAGCTCGTTTTCAGGGATCCATCCGCTAGCTTATACATCAATATTTATTGCAGAAAGATTATTATCAATAAGTTCAATTTCGTTTGGACAAGGTTGGTTTAATGATTGTTATCCGGTGAGCTTGCATCTATCCGCATGTGAGTTCGAATCCAACAAGGAATCTCAATTTCTTTCCAAAATAAACCAAGCAAAAATTTAAAACTCGTAGTGTGGATGAACGTATGAGTCGATTTTTAAAAAAGTGGCAATGACAAAAAGGAGGGGATGAAGTATTCTATTATTTAGTTTGCTTTAGCATGAGATCATCGGAAAAAAGTTGGCCCATACTACGTGTCTTGAAAGCCACCCGGGGTTCCACTCCGTACGTCGAAGAAATCTTTAAAATTCGCTGAAATCCGCCTTCCGCATTTCAAACCCAAAAACATTGGTTTAAGGGCAAATAACCAGTGGTTTAAGTTCTTCACTATCCCCGTTATAAAGATATCCAAACAGGGTTTTGATTTTAGACAGTGGATTGGTTCTCGACCATTACTGTGTTTTAAATTTAGTAGAGATGACAGATGCAAAAATCACCCGGGGTTAATCGGATAACCTTAGTTTCCGGGTGCTTGTGGCGCAAAATAACTCTGGCGACCGTATTCCCGATGGCTGGTCGATCTGGACAGAAGGCCGAAACGGGTAGCACACAATGCTGGTGGTCAAGGTGATTGAGGGAAGGAAGAAGTAGTAGAGTTCTTCGAATTTCAATCATCGCTCATTCAGCGGAAACACCATAACTGAAATCAGCAGGGTCCTATAGAACTCCTTAAGAACCGGCAACTTTTTGAGTATAAACAATAATGAAGATACTTGGCATTAGGTTGCCAACTGTAGAAAATGGCATGTTTCAGCTCCGGCCATGGTGATGCATCCACGAAAATTCCTTGATCAATCCCTCGGACAGTGCTTCTGCTAGACTAACTGAGTTTCTATCCAGCTGTTATTGATCAGGTATTATATATATATATATATATATATATATATATATCACGTCTGAGTTAAGACTGTTACCAGGTTACCCAGGCCAAGACAGTTACGTGCTTGATTCTTCATCTTCTTTATTCACCGTGTGTTGATTACGAGTGAAATAGACTATTCTGTACCAAAAAAGTATTTCTCAGCTTTGTTTCTTGTTCTAACTGCAGCAATGTGTAAATCGATAGAGGACACGGTACCAATTACGCAGCCCACTGATTTAATAAAGAAATACTGGAATAATGTTCCACAGGGAATCATTCATCGCACATGTTTCTGGCACCATGACATTCAAAAGCTGACAGCCCCAATTGGACCACCAGCACACATTTTGAATTTTTTTTAAATAATGTACGTAGCAGAAAAGATTGAAAACAAGTACTGTCTAATCCAAAGTAAGCCTTTTGACTTTTTAAGTTCTGAGCCGGAGCATATGAGCGCAAAAAAGACACGTTGCATCACCTAACACCAGCACTGTTGTCTTCAACTAAAGCGAATTTACAAAAATTATTATTATTGTTAATAATACACGAACGCTACTAATAGAATCACTGACAGGAGTACCAAACATGTTCAACGATTGAAATCGTTGTGAGTAGGAATTACAATTTCGTCGGCTGACTACAGTAAACTTTATCCCATGAAGGTTACCAACCGGGATCGGTTCAGTTCGGGTGACCACAGACGGTCTATGGTAAAGTGTAAACTATACGGGTTGTCTTTAACACACCGAAGATACAAGCATTCTGGAAAAGTTTATGAACAGAAGCCCGATAAGAGTCGATTTCATAGGATCAACCGCAGGCTGGCTGGACAACGGCCGGTTCCTCATTAGACGTCGTCTAACACAGACAAGTGGTGGGTAGAATCAGTCTAACTTTTAAAACTAAAATGAGAGCGAAGACTCGGGTGTTACGGTTTTTGACCTTTACCTTCGAAAGCCTCACTACGGTCGGGGATCGGTGTCTTGGGTTGAGGAAGCCCTACTTAGTGCCTTCACGTAGCGGTGTTTAAAGGAACAAAAACCTAACATCCGAGACTGTAACTGGATCGGTAAACCACTGGCAGTTCGCCTACGGAAGTTGATTAACCCCCTGATTCCAAACCAACCAACGAAGAAGAGGTGTACGAACCACACCACACCACACACACAGACATACACACCTTCCTGCTTGTGGCCTTTAGTCACTGGCTCTATTGACCATCGAGGTACATTAGACACCTTGAACATTCAACCCGGTCCGTTGAATTAGACACCGATCCCCGACGAACTGTGGTTTTCATACACCACTCTGTTACCTTGAGAGTCAGGCTGTGGCTAACCGAACGCGCCGGTTCTGCATCCCCAAGGAAAATTTGATTTGCTTTGGCCTAGGCAACTCGGCGATATTCCGCACACTGGCGAATCATGGGTGCCTGCTATATATATATATATATATGTGTACATATCAAAGCAGCGGTTTCATCAACGCTAGTTTCAAACCAACCAATCCAAAGTGGAGATCTGTCATTCGTTTTTAATACTAGTAGTATCCGTTGTGGTTAAAAACCAAAATATCGACTTCGGCTTGTTGAAATTTAATCAATTAGGCGGAGGGGAGGTCCGGAGATACTGACGCACCGGTATATATACCAACGGGCTGTGAACATGCACAGTGCCAACGCGACTAATAGAGAAAACGAAGGGAGTACAAAAGAAGAGTGATGGGAAAAATAGAATTACAGAAAAGCCAAAGAACAAGAACAGCGTTTTTCTATCTGTTTCACAGTACACCTTTTGGTGCCGTTTTGTGTTTATTAGCCTTGATTGATTTAACTAACTATCCTTCGGACTTCACCTTCACGCAATCCTCAGCTCATCGATTCAACCATACAGTCGGAAGCATTAGACTCGAATTTCGCTCTTATTAGAGCTCATCAGTAGTGCACATCCACCGTCCTGTCCGGGATTTGAACTCCGGACCCATCGCATGGAAGGCGTCTGCGTTACCACTGCACCAACCAGCTCATGCCCTGGCTGAACCAAATTGCCAATTCATGTTTGTTCAGGTGTTATCCTTAATGATAGTCAATGATAGTCTTCGGTGAGAGCCGGGAAACATTTAAACTCACCAAAGCAATGGCATTTTCCCTGGGCAGACGAACATCGAAGATGGCAAAGAATGAATTGTCCGATCTGGAGAAAAAAAAGAAAAGATTGGATGAATCGGGTTTTCCGACGTTACGTGAGAAAGCACAAAGTGAGAGGAAACCCAAAGCAGTAACTCTAGTCTATATGTATGAAGGTTAGACGTGAACTTAAGAAGTGGTAAGAAAAATGACTCACCAATAAAAGCATTCAGGGATACTGAGCATAGCACAGACGGGCAAAAAAACCCCACTTCTGGGATTTTTGACGAGAAA